AGGCGAGACACAAACTTTTCAAAAAAAAAAAAAAAACCTCAGTAAATAATTTAACCAAATACTTTATTATGTCTCTTCATAGAGTTGCTTACATAAGACAATTTGGTCAACAGGTTATACCTATATCTGCTTGACCATTGAATACAGTGAAAAATACCTAACCAAGAATAAAGCCAGAAACCACCCAACCATCTATTGAGTCAGCAAATAGGCATGTAATTGACAACACAACAATAATCAAAGTTTAAACTAACAAATTAGCCTTGTGGAAAGCATCCACTAAAACAACAAAAGAATTTGGATACAGAAGCGGTGATCATCAGAAGTCCCATTCAAAAGATTTTGAATATGAACAAAGAGCTTTATGAGGCGATAAACACACCAGGAAAGTTAAAGTATATCATTGTGTACTGAATGGTATTTGAAACAGGTAATTGTTTCTTTAACAATTTTGAATGAGCTTTCTTGGTACACTTGTTCATAAGAACAACACTTAATGAATGCCCTCAGTTTAGGTTCATTTTTGTGTGATTAATTAAGTTCATTTTAATTATCATGACAGTATCTCCATACGACCAACAAACCCATTTTCCAAAAGTTTAAGATCTCAGTGGAGGAAGTCCATAATTACCCTCAGGACAGAAGAGATCAAACCTGCCACAAGCTCAGGCTGCATAAAAAAAAGAATATGCGAAACATGAACAAAATTGATCAAGTAATGATACAGTTACCTTTTTCTAGACCTGACAGGTGAAGGGGAAGAGTGTTGCTTTCTTGAATGCAGCTTCCTGTAGTACACAACAGAAAATTAGAAGCTAGATAGCTCAATTACAAGACAACAGGAATAAATATTCAAAAGATGCCAATGATGAACCTCTTAGAACCATCTGATGCTTCATCACTTGAGTCATTAGCATGACCACTGGAGTTATCCTTGCTGTTTCTGCCTCTACTGCTAATGGACGAGGAGCGTCTTCTCTTGTGCCTGCTTGAGTCACTTCCACGTTTATGTCTTGATCTATCCTCTTCTTTTGTTCGTTCTCTTTTTCTATCAACATCTTCTTTGGCACTAGCTCTATGAGATTTCTCTGCACCTTTCTTGTCATCCTTGAAATCGAACTGGCTGGATCTTTTTCTTTTGTCAGATTCCTTAGCTTTTTCCCCAGTCTTATGCTCTTTTACTCTCTCTTTTGAACCATTTCGATCTTCTGTCTTTTTCTTTTGAAGCCTCTCATCCTCTCTCAGATGATTCTCAACTCCCTTCTCATATTCCCTACTCCTGACCTCTAACTCCCTACCACCACCAGGATCTTTCTGAAAAGAACTCTTTCTACTTTCAGGTCGATCATTCTTGTCTGATTTTAATCTCGTTTCCCTACCTTGAGATTCAGATTTTGTTGATCTTTTACCAGTATTTGTGTCAGGCAGCCCATAATCAGATTTCTTTATCACCTGCCCTCCTAAAGTATCATTCAACCCAGAATCTTTATTTCTTTCTTGCAGTTTTCCACTACTAAAATTAATCTCATCTCCAGAAACCACCTTGGAAGAAAATGAATTGTCATGGTTCCTATCTGCACTATTATCACTCAATTCAGCAGTAGTTTTGTCTCTATTGTTTTTTAACCACACCACATCACTTCCAAAATTCTTTTCAACTCCATTGTGTTCATCGAGTTCTACCTGTGGCTTGCTATTCTCTGATGCATCATTGTCTTGTGAAAGCTTCTTAACACTAGACAGCACAAAAGCAGCATTACTCCTTGAATCTGGCATCCTGGAACTTTGAATTTCATTATCTTCATTTTCATCCTCATCCTCAGAGGCATAATTTGCAAGGCCCAGTACATTGCCAGGGGAGCTTGAACTAGATTTTTCTCCAACACCTACAGTGTCGGATTCCTTTGCTTTACCTGGAACTAGTACCCTTGCAGAAGGCTTAGGAGTTGGGACAGGAGAGGAAGATGGTGATACCTTGTAATTTGAAGTAACAGCATTGTGGTCAACTGCAGTTGTCAACAGAATGGTCAAATTAAAGAGAAAAAAGGTGGCGCCATAAACACAATATCAAGGATGAAGTTAGCAGACTTCAGTAGTCGCATCAGAAATATAAATTTTACTTACCTTCAACTGTCGAGTCATCTTCGTTTACAACTTTGGTTGCAATTTCATCAAACAACTCATCTGTGACCTGTTCAAAGGCATGAAAATTACATCTACCATAGAAAAACATTAATATAAACAACCATAAGTGTTCAAACAGC